AAAAATATTAAATTTATAATTTATTTTTATATTATGTTTTATTTTGTTGAATTTCTCATATTTTAATTTTTCTTGTTATAGATTGTTAATAAATTAAGTAAGGGTAAAATGAAAACGAGAGATGGAAAATCGAATAACACAATCCTTCTTACATGCAACACCAGTGTAATTCCCTTGAAATGTACACCAATGACTGCGTGCAAGTTATTACACCCTTTGTAGTACATAGGTATCGATAATCTTCTGTTTTATATCGTCTCACTGTACACTATCTTATACGAAAAAAATCTCTTCCCCTTCATCTCTTTGTCAATTTCACTAAATCGAGATTCTCTAATCAACCCATTAAAGCCCATTGCCCTAAAATAGGACAGTTAATTCTTCTAACTTTTTATGAATGGATCAATCTCAGTGATCTTATATAAAGTCTTGTATAATGTGTTGTGGTGATCTTGTATTAATTCTTCTATTCTTTGTGACTGTCCTGGTTTTATACATATCTTATCAAACTTAAATTATCTTTTATTCAATTTAATCATTCTGTCAATCAAGAGATTTGTCAGATCATTCTCTCTTCTTTCCCAGGATGTTAATAGATCAATAGGGTAATCTACTTAGTTTCATAAATCGATCTCTCATAATACTGCTCGGTTGCTCAAGATATTTCACATTACATCTTCAAAATACTTGCAATCCGATTAAATCTTAGTTTGAATATTTTATGACAAACCCATGTAAATTCTATAATTCGTCAGAGTTCTATAGATTAATTGACAGAATCTCGTTGAAATATCAGAATCTAATACTAAAGACACACATAAAAATGATTATAGTCTCATAATAATAATATTTCTCAGCACCAATTGATCTATTAACGCCCATTATCCTAACGATAATTCAATCACAATTTAAAACATCTTTATTCCCACCACTACTCGATCACCATAAGAACCTTGTCAGTTGAGAGTCTTATTGGAGTTTTATTACAGGAGTTAGTCTTTCTTGCTTAGCACTTCAGGCGATCGCCAGAAATCCAAGAGATGTCGAAAATTATCGGGGTGGCCATCAGGCAATGTAATCTTGCCATTGTGGGCCCTGGGGCCCAGTCAGCCCTAGGCGTTCGATTCCTTGAGCGTCTGCAACTTCTCTAACTGATCCGGTTGAAGCTCATCTGGGATGCTGGCCCTTCCTCCTACCAGCATTTTGCCTGGCACCATTTCCTCCTCTTCTTCCTCTGTGATTTCTGTGACTTCTTCTGTCACTTCCACCACCGTTCCTCTCGATTGGGAATTTTCGTTAGTACTGGGACCAGAAGCGATCGATTCCGCTTCACTTCCGGAACTGCTGCTGATTGGAAATGGTGCTGAATCGGCAGGAAGTTCGTCAATCGTGGATTTTTCTTCAACTTCTTCTTCCTCTTTTTCATCCAAAATGACAGTCGCCTCTTCCTCTTCTTTACACTCGCTCTCGTTTGGATCCGAAGCAGCACTTGAAGCTTCAGGGTCAGCTTCAGAGGTTTCTGATTTTGCTGGATCTTCCGAAGTCTCCTCTACCCCAGGAAAAGGATGTTCGATCTCCTCCATTGGAGTTGCAGCTGTAATGACGATCTGGGCTACTCCAAGACCAAAATCGTCCTTTTGGTTAGCGGATTTGGGATCTTCGGACTTCTCTGCCTGTGAATAGAATATAAAGTTTCATTTTGGTATAATGTAACTTTGTGGCTCTGTATGAACCATCTATCCCAATTGTATTAAATTTAAGAAAAACATGATAATATATCGCGTTTCATTCTAGAAATAAAACTTTAATATGCTTTAAAGATTTAATCTCTGAAGCAGACATTATTAAATTATAAGTAACATGATAATGTATAAATATTTCGTAAGAACAACACATATGTTTTTTCAGACAAACGAATTATTTAAAAAATCTAATTGTGCTAATTATGCTAACAATAATATACTACAAGAGAGCAGCTTTTTCCAGATCTTGTTACTTCATATACAGAGAATGTTGTAAAAAAAATTAACTTGTTCAAAATTTACAAGAAAAGAATTTTTTGGGATATATGTATCACATATAAGACCACAAGATAGAGAAGTGGGTCATGAGACAATTTAACATGCATGGAATTTTTCAGGACTCTTTTTACAGCAAAAGTAGAAAACACACTTTTTCATTATTTTTTAAAGCCTTGTTATGCTAGAATGTACTTTTGCCTAATAGTCCTAATTGCATAACAATCTGGCGAACAAAAGTTATACTGGTTCATTATATTTTATTCAATTTTTGCAATCTACTCAATTCATTTTTGTAATAAAAATTATTTTACATGGTATATCAAAATATAAATATATAATGTCGAAACATAATATATACATTTTTTATTTTGACTGATTGTTAATTATTTTAATAACATTATTTCTCCTGGTGGAAATAACTTTACAGGATCGAATAGATAGAGTCTGTCCAATATGTGTTAAATGTCTTTGCTACAAACGAACTTTTACTAAAAATAAATTTTTTATACCAATTTACCTTATCGCTCGATTCATCTGATACCTCCACGACTGTGCAGCAAGTTATAGTATTTCATAGATTAAAATACGAATAATTAATAATACCCACTATATTTTGACTATTACGATAGTCTATTTTGTGGGTTTTTATTTAATTTTTGAAAATTACCTAATATATTTGGCGCTTCCGCTTCGTCATCTTCAAATTGCAAGCCATAATGGTCCTTTTGGTTCTTGGACAGATTTATTATGAAACCTCCATCGCCATTCACCCCTGACTTTTCTTCTTGTGACTCTAATACATATAAGACATATATTAAAATAAATATGTATAAAAAAAAAGAAAAATATAAAATAAGAAAATGTGTAAACAAAATTAAACTCTTATTAAATGTATATGATAATATATTATACATATTATCAATATTATTATCTCTATATACTTTTATATTATACTTTCTGATATATAGTATTCAATGGGATTGTCTAATTTTACTTGCTTTTTAGTATTACTTTATGCCTTTCCTTTCATTGCATACCTTATAAAGTACATTACATGCCCCCCATAAGTTTTTATATTAGATTTTAAAATGTGGATCTCTTTCTTAATATATGAATTTGCGGATCCACGATCTTCAAAGAGTAATTATGAAACGTACGATATTTATGTATATTTATGATTATATTCATATTAATATTATAATAGGCATATAAATTATTAATACAAATAAATGAAAGTGATTGTAATTACCGTCGAGCTGAGCGAGTTCATCGGCTAGCAAAAATTCTGGTATTTCCGGCGGGGTGAAGACTGGCGGTGCAGAACTCGGTGGTGTTACATCTTCCTGAAATAATAAAAATTCATTTCTATCATTTCTATTATAATTAACTATAAGTTAATTATTTTAGATTTTTTAAATTTGTATATATATAAATTTTTTTGTATTATAATATAAAATCTTAACCAAAATATATTCTCTTTTATAGATATATAATTTATCTTATAATTTTGATTGAAATCAAATTTCTCGTTCAATATATAATTTATTTGGTTTATAATTGTGATATATAATTTATTTCATTTCTCATACTTAGAGAATATATAAAACATAACTGTCTAATGTTGTACAACTAATAATTTATTTGTAAATTTTATTAACATAAGTATAATCTTTGATGAAACGATATTGGGATTTTTCACCTGTGGGGTCAAAGGGGACCCATCCGGAGCGCAAGGTTCCACAACGAGGGAGGGGAAGATGCCTCGCTGATCTCTTAAATCGCCTTCCCACCAGCCATCGTCCACTTCATGCGGTTCTTTTCTCAGCACTCTGATGATATCGCCTTCTAGGAAGCTTAGCTCCTCGTCGCACGTTGCATCGTAATCGTAGAGCGCGATACAATATTGCTCAACTTCTGAAAAATTTATGATATATAAAATAATTAGAATATTAATAAGTGTTCTTTTTTTAATAAATAGATAATATATAAAAATAATATAACCAAAACACACACACACACACACACATCCGATTTTTTAATCTCATTAAAACAAATAAAAAAGTTATAACTAAATTTTGACATACCTCCAATGTGATTTTGCATAATAGCTTCTGGAACAATACTTTGCAAGCCAGCATCGGGATCGACGGCGTCGTGATCGTCGATCGTATAATCGACCGATGAGAATGAAATTTGCTGGACCAGACTCGGACCCTGCGAGGTCAAGCCGCCGGTAGTAGTCTCCGGCTCTCTCTCCACATCGAGATAATTCTGAGGTACGAAACCCTCTTCTCCCCGGTAATTTCGTGCTTTTAACCATCCATCACCGTCGCCTTCGCCCACTACATCCAGCTGTTCGCTTTCCACGATGGAAAGCTCATCGGGATTTTGCGCCTAAAAATCGTTAAAAAATTTGTCCATCTCCATAGAATATCCCAGAAAAGATGGATATTACTTTATAACCAGGAATTGTGAAATACTATATAATTTATACAATATAATTTCGTGACAAAATGTTTCAAGTTTCACGAAAAATATCCTCTAAGTTATCTTATTGTTATTTAGAAGTTTAACAGAAATTTTTATAAAGATAATGGTGATAACATACATTTTCAAATTAAATTTCTAAACCTATCTGTAACTATCTGTAACCATTAAAATATATTTTTAATAATAATGTATTTTTCATAAATTTTTTATACATATATTTAAATTTTTTCTAAAGGCTCAGCGTAGAATTACATCCTTACTGTGTAAGAATAGAGAGCAGTACACTTGTATATGGGTTGATTAGAAGGCATCTCTAGTATCTCGTGCGTCATTTCTTGCTCGTCCTTCTCTTCGTTGCCCCATTCAACCGACGTGGGATCGTCCCAGCCTGCTGTTAGCTGCTCCATTCGTTGCTTCTCCTGCTCTAACAATGCTAAAAATAAATAATCCTTTGTTTTTTGTTGTTGTTGTAATCTTTCATCACATCTTTGCTTATTTACCAAGCCATCGGGTATAAAATCATGATTAATATTTTTAAGTGCATCGAATCGTATTTATTTATATTTGATTATGTTTATATAATGGCTATATGTGTAATAAATACTATGATATATACATATTTGTAAGTATAATATTTATTATATGTAAAATATAATCTAGAATATCAAATTGTATAATCAAAAAATTCTATTCTGTTTGCCCCAATAATGAAAAAAACTAATATTAATAAATTAAAATGTAAGTGTTCATATTGAAAATAATATATAAACTAAATTTATATTAACAATAAAATAAATTATATATAAATGCTTAAGATTTATATAAATTATAGTATGTGAAAATCGTCTACGTACCATCGACTTCGGCGCTGTCGTGCCTTTGCCTTTCTTCGACTTCATCCTCATGCTGTGACGCAGTCTTTCCAGGTCGTTCAACGGTTGTTAGATCGCTTCCGCCATCGCCATCACTGTCATAGAAAGAGTCCGATGATGGATGTTCCTGAAAGTTATATTTTACACACTTCTTTTCGTATTAAAGATTAGAAAAATTTTATAGACATTTCTTTAATTAACGATGTATTTTGTGATACTCTTAAGATTTTTTCATCGCATAAAATTTGCAAGTTTATGTTTTTACGAAAGTAGCAATTTAGTATTTAATGAATATGAGTGTTCAATTCGCAATCGAGAGATGAAAAAATGTAAAACTTAAAATACAAAATATTGTTTTTAATTATGTAGAATATCTTCAATCCTGTTGAATAAGAATTCGATAAATTGTACAATATGCATTCTAATAATTACCGCTGCACCAGATGCATCTGTTCTGACAGAAAGGGAACTGGCCGAACGAGGTATGTCCTGAACGCTCAGCGTTTCAGCCTCTTGCAGGAATTCATCCACATTTACTTTAAAATTCAAAACAAGCAAAATATACAAGATATCTCATAATACAATACATGTGTAACAATTTCATGTTTATCATAAAATTCGAAATAATATACACGATTATCTTTAGTATAATCTATAAGAAATATTAAAAAATATATTATAAGAAGATAAAAAATAAACTCGATTTTAAAAAAGTAGATTGTCAAATTTCATATGTCAATATAAAAAAAAAAAAACTCCTTTTTCCTTATAATACCTGATATCTTTTTTTATATACATTTTTGTAGTTCCTGTATTAGTAAAAGAATGAACGAACTTTTTATTCATAACTTTTCAAATATATATGAATTAATTATTAATAAATTAATTTCATAGAGTTTTTCTGTTATGAATATTGTTATAAATTCTGTTATATATTGCAAGATTAAGAATTAATCTGAAAAAATTGTTTTATTTTTTTTAAATATATCTTTAAAAAAATTTTTTTTAGTCAGAATAGAGAATATTGACAAACCTCCACCGTGTCGAAGACATTCTAATCTCGCTTCGGCCTTGAGTTTTGTTGTCTATTTAGAGAAGAATATATATAAATTTTATATGTTTCAACTGTATAGTTGAATACATATCAAAATAAATAATTTTTTTTTCTGTTTGGAATAAGAGGTTTACCTCTGCTCGTCGAATAGTGTGCTTTAAATCATCGATTTTTGTATCTAAATCTGGACCATTAGGATCATTCGGATCAGTCTGAAAAAAAATTTAATATTTAATTTATAAAAACATTGCAATTTTTACATACATTTAATGCTAACTCTCAGTATAAAATTTTATGATAATAACAATACATAACTTTTTCATTATAAAATAGAAATTTCGATAGAGGCAATGCTAAATTTTGTCAAAAATTTAGAATTATGATAATTCTTTAATGAAGTTAGTATAATAAATTCATGTTATTGATGATTATTTATTATTTTTCTAAGACATTCAAAGTACTACAAACCTTTTGGCCAGCCTCTTTGAGTTGTAGCAGTGCCTGCAGCTTTCGATTGTTCTCGCGGATATTGTTGACCTCGCGGGCAATCCTCGTCGACCAGCGACGCGCTTCATTGCCCAACGTCGTCGCTGCCGAATGATCGGCAGTTATCCTAAATTTGGCAAAAATACTATTCAGATCAAGCTATTAAAATCTAAAGATTAGTTTGCATAAAGAAATTTTTTTTTGCGTTAGTATTTTAATGTAAATAATATACATTCCTGATATGTATTATATATCTATATATCAAAGAATTCTATATAATCCATATATTTATATAAATGCTTTACAATATAAAGATGATCTACAAACCTATCTATTGCATCGTTATCGCAGGATTCGAACTCGTATTGAATGTGTTGTTTCAAAACGGGATAGTATAAACAGCAACATTGGATATTGTATTCCCTAGTAAGCTGTGAATTAGCATCATAAGTCGCAAATTCCTTTCTATCCCTCGTCGATATTTTTATTCACAAATTAGCGTTATTGTTTGTAAATTATTAGACGTACCTGCTGAGCTTGATCGCGAATTTTGCCGAAGCTATTTTGCGTGGCTAGACAAGTGAGTAATTCCGTGCGTCCCATCAGCGTTAAATATTCCGCTACCTTGTCGTAAACTCCTTGCTCCAAATGCTAAGTAATGCAAGAAAATGTAGCGAATAAAATAAATATCTCATATTTGTTATAAAATCACGATTTTGCGAATACAGAATAAAGGCAAATATAATAATTTTTATTTTTCCATCTGTATATATATATAATCTTATATAACATTTTTATATAAATCTATCAACCCATATTACCATGTTATGGAGTACTCACTTGCATGGTGGACTGTAAATCGACTACAAAATATCGATTTTGGTGAGCATTGGCGGCGGCGAGGCTCAATAGATAATCATTGCGTGCTCCGGTTGATTTCTCTTCTAATTGATCTCGCTTCGAGCTAAACTATAAACAGTTACAGATGTGAAATTAAATACAGATAAATCCTGATTTCGCTAAGCGTATAGTTTATCTTTTATTAAATTAATTAACAATAGAAATTACTATATTTGAATAATTAAAAATTATAACATTTATTATTAAATGCTTATAATGCTTATAATAAAATATTTTTATTTTAATTTCTTCAATTAAATATTATACTAATAAAAAAATATTTAATAAAAAAATATTGTAGTAATTTAAAAAACAATGTTAATAATATATATTCTTATTTTCTTCTTTTATTATATTTCTATATTAAATAATGTATTTTAAAAAAGAATGAGAAAAAAGAGAACACGTTTGTTGCTTTTATTTGTGTGTATGTGAGTGTGAAAAGAAATTATTATATCCCTAGAGATCTCGAAGAAAGTATAGGATCACAAAAAATTCCACATGATTTGTATTTCAAAATGTCGAAAATGTAATCAAAGAGAATCTTAAAGATGAAAAATCATACCTTGGCGCTATTTTTCTGCAATGTCGTTATCGATGTGAAAAAGGAACCCTTCTTCTTCTTCAATCTAAAAATATCGATCGAACATGAATTATTGCGTTCGCAATTATGTAGCCGGCTTATGAAGTTAATGCCAATATACAATATGTTAAAAAAAAAAAAAACAAGAAAATCGAAAAAATTTGGAAGAAAGAAAATATGTCAGAGAATTTAGTCAAATTTACGTAATATGAATATAAATATAATATAGAAAATGTAATACTTTTTTAGTCAAATTTTATTTTGATTAGAAAACAAAAGCTATTAAAGTTTACATATTAGAAGAACTTTATTAAGAGACCACATAAAAAAAATTTTTTTTTAAACCTGGCTGGGAAACGACTTAATTTTCGGATATCAGATAATTAAAAAATCGATATAGATATATACTTTTCTTCAATATCCTTTGCCTTGTCGCGTACATCGTGTGCGCTATGTTCTTCGTCAAAGTACAATTTCTTTGTTTTGTCAACGTCCTGGACGCAGGTCTGCAGTTCTTTTTGTACTATTAATAATTGGTCGATTGCCTAAAAATTCAATTATCACAAAAAAAAAAATTATAAGCAATAGAACTTTTTTTATAATATACGTTTTCTTTTATGTAAAAAAGCAAAAGATTTTTTCTATTTAAATAATTTTAATAGTTTTAGTCACTTTCTAAACTTATGTATCGTGTATCATTTTTATTTTCATATATCATATATCGCGCGAAATGTAATATATTTTTTTAATTTAATAAATGACGAAACTTTTTATACCTTCTTAGAGACTTGTAATTTATGCATCCTGAGGCCCTTGGCATCATCGGCGATCTGCTGCTGGAAGACCTCGACGGCAGCGAGATGCGCGCGCGCCAGCTTCTCGTTCTCCTCCAGCACGGTTCGCCACACGTTCCACATGTTCCTATAATCATTCGACCGCACGCCCGCGGATTGCCATTTACCTATGACCCTTCTTCTCCTTGGCAAACTTCCCTGATCGATAAGCAGCCAGAGAGAGATTGAAACCAGTACAATTCCGTAGAAGTCAAATTCCTGTTTCTTATAGCACGCGAATAACGATTCTTACGCTTATTAATATTGAATTAAGCCGATTTCAACTTTTTTTGTTACACGATAGTTCCATAATAATCATAAAATTAATATATATATATATATCATCAATTAATTCAATTTTAATCAATAATAAATAATTCAACATAGCAATTGAATTTCGGTTTTAACGGATTCAATCTGGTTAGATCTCTGGACGGGTGCGGAAAAATTATTCTTATCACATCATTTTAATTGTTCTGTAATTATAATGTTATGTGACATGTAATATGTATGTCACAAAAGAATAAAAATTTTACGAAATTATACCGGTTTTAACACTTACGATAAACATTTGTTGTGTTGAAGAAGAGCAAGAGAAAGAGAGAGAGGGGGAAAGATAGAAAAAAAATAAGATAGATACAATAAATGTAACTTAAAAAAAGTCCAAGGGAATTTAAATGTTAGAATAAAAAGGAAAAGGTAATATATAAATGCATAAAAGGTAATATATAAATGCATAAATAAATATAAGAAATAAATAAATTAGAAATTAAAGTTTTATAAAATATGTGTTGTATGCAAACTTTTATTTTTTTGCACGACTTAATTACCATTTCTCTTCGGCTCCATCGAATTTAAGATCTGGTATGTTCGGTATTTTTTTGTTTAAGTATGCGGACGATATCTTGAGCAGCGCCTGCGTGAATAAGTATAATACTTTAATAACAGTTAATGTAACAATTTATAACAACTAGATATTAATAGTAAAAGACACGTTAATAGCAATAAATATATTATGAATATTTATTATATTAAAAATAATATAAGTGCGCGCGCACATATATTATACAAAATAAATTGCTTACCTCAGAGTAGGATTTTTCAATGGCAGATTTTTTAATCGTAAAATTACTGAAAAGAAACAGAAATCATTGTTTATTTAATTATCAAAGAACCGATGAACAAAATTTCAAGTTTCTTTAAAATAATTTTAAAATAATAAATAAAATTTTGTGTATGTTCAATCTCAATTTGAATTCAAAATATACGCATTCTATAATAATTTCATAATATATGTTGTTTAAATAATAACTTTGACTTAAATTTCTTTTAGAATAAAAATATTCCAAAGAAATTCGAATTTGTTTTAAAACAATTTTTGTATAAATTGATTATATCTCATTTTATTTATAATTAATACTTAATATATACACGTATATAATCTTTTCAATTATATCACGTATTAATAAAAATAAATATTTATAAGAATAATATATGACATATATATGAATAACATAAGTATTCTGTTGAATAAAAATAATAAATAATAAACGAAAACTGCACGTAAGGCGTAACATAATGCCAAAGTATTTAAACATGTTTACGTAAAATATCGTATGTCTTCACCGTATGTCTTCCAGAAGGTCACATTCGTGCTGATTTTTTGCTTGCAATTTCGCTGCCTGCTCCGCGTGTACATGCTTTAGAAACTTCGCGTAGTTTCCCTTGCAATCAAACAGAAGAGACCCATTAAAAAAGTATAAATTAGATGTATTATCTCAATTTTTTGTTACAATTATTTCAAACTTTTTATTTATTACTTATTAATTATTCCGAACTTTTTCTAATCTATTAATTTTCTTTTTGTTATTTAAATAGTAATTTTCAAGATTGATTAATTTTCCTAAAATTATTTTGTCATCATCCATTATCGAGTTTTTATAGCTTGTCTCCACCCAAAGTGCAAATTGAAAATCAATGCTAATCAATGACATAAAACGGTCCATTAAATGCAATGTATTTTGTCTCAATTTTATGCGAATACAATCTTTAGACGAACTATCTTTTGTAATTTTTTTTAGCAAAAAAATATAGTTTTTAATAAAATTATATTTTATGCAAAAGAGAGAGATAATTGTAACTAAATATGTTATGGATATTTTTAATTATCTAAAATAACTATTATTATTAGTAATTTAGAAAAATTAAATGTAACCTTTATATGTATATAATTAGTATCTCCCGTAACAATTACATAAATTATTATTAATAATATTCATAAGCTGCCTATATTTTATATTTTACTAATTGTAATATAATCTCATTCAGAAATATAAATATTATCTAAATCTTTTCTACACGATCGATAAAAATTTTTCTATCCATTGCCAACTTGATATAATTAAACATAAATTCTATGTCTCCACCCAAAATGTGCAAACCAGAAGTAGATTGCTTGCGAGATCTCGATATGAGAGTGTAAGTAGCGATTACATTGGACGTTCTTTCGCGATATCTTTGCTTCTTATCTTTATTAACTCTTTCTTCTGACCATCAAGACTGATATAATTCTATAGAGTTTAAATTCCAATGCCACCATTATGGGAAAATGTATTGTTAAAAATTGAATTTACATTCTAATATTGTAACATTACAAGTACATTATATATATAATTGTATTACACTATTTTAAAATTAGTATAAAATCAATATAACTATTATTATCGTTTAGAGATTAAAATCGTTGCAATAATATTCTTTAGAATCTTTCAATTTATTTCAAGCGATACAAAAAGAAATGGATCTTATGTACGTATGAATTGAGAGTATATTATTACTAAGCTATTATATTATTGTGTAGTATAGGTATATTCTGTACATTATTCATATATAAAAATACATTGCCGAAAATTATGTATAAAATTTGATATTGCTTTATTGTCTCATATAGAGATTAAAATTAACGTAACAATCTTTTAAATTCATCTATTGTCTGTGATATCGGCATGGAAAATGCCGATATCAATGCTAATCTTTACTTTTGACACTCGGTGTATAAAATCGATTTTCCTGTACCTATAATACAGGAAAATGACTTGTGTTTTAGATATACTTTACTCGGTGTGATTTTCCCGTACCCGTCGCACGGAAAATTGATTTTAGGAAGGCACAAAATTCGTCAAATCCCTGTTATCTAGGATGTATTCTCGTGTATGCAATGACTTCCTCTTACTTTTCTCGGCGGTGGTTGCATGCTGAGGCGAGTTTTTCCCGCAACGCCGGGAGAGTAGGAGGAGGAGGAGAGGGGCAATTTCGCTCTCACTCGCCCTCGCTCGCTCACGGCTCACCCTCTATGCGCACACACCCGCACGCACGCACCCTCGTCGTGCACCGCTCGCGCGCTCGTACGCTACTGATCTCCTGCCCTCCTGAGGCCACAGCCGGGGGTAGTGCGCCGCTTATTGATCGTCCGAATCCCTTCTTTCCTGATGACGCCTGCGCCGCCCCCGGGTCGGCGAATGACTTCCTTTTCGACGACCTACTAAGCCTTGTCAAGAGAAGGAAATGGGGGGAGGGGGGAAGGGGTAAATGAGGAGTTAATTGCAGATCCTTGTGGTGATTTTTTTAGTCACTGCGATTAGTGATTTCACAACTCTTGCAAGATCGATCGTATTTAAAGATATTTGGCGAAAAAGCAAAGAGGGATGGCAAAGATGTACTTAATTTTTTTATAAATTTAGATGACAGCTCCATCTCTCTCTAAAATGATACTATAGTTTTTACATAATGTATAATGCTTTTAACTCTTTTTTCCTCAGAAAAATAATTTTGTCTCAAGTTAGTTAAAGTTAGATATGACATTGTAAAGAGAGTGCATATATATAAATTCCACATTCTTAAAAAAAAATCATTCTCACAGACGTGAGAAGAACGCGCCATATGAAGGGACTTCTAAATCCATAAAAAGCAATAATAAATATTTTCCTTTAGACATATTTCCTTGGAAATTGTTTGAAAATAATTGATATACGGGATGTTTCTTAATAAATAGGAAATAATAGATCGTGAGTACCTAAAAATAAACCAAAAAGTTAATATAAATACATATGTAAAAATATTGTTTAGTTTCGGCGTTATTTCGAAAATCTCACACATGTTCTTATCTTATATGTATACATAATCCTCAAAATAATTACCATTTACAAGCACTTTTACAAGCTCGCATATGCGTCATTATTGGATCGTCTCACATTCTCAAAAATATCAAGTGTCTTCTGAATTTACTAGTATGGACTGTTAACGAGTATTTCTGTTATCAGTGAATCATCAAAACATGACAGAACTGTCCCACACGTCGCTAAGTGGCTCCAATTCTACGGCTTTTCGTTTAGAGACATTTTATAGGACAATATAAAAAGACATAAGAAATCATTATAACTCTTTAAATTCTTGTTTATAAATATTTGAACGAAATCTGTTACATTGTGCAAAACACAAAGCTGTAATTCAAGAAAATTAATTTAATTAAATTAGTATATATTGGCCATACATCTTATGTGAATTTATTTTCTTTTAAGTTCTCCATTCATTTTTAAAATATTTCCCTTATTAGGGAATAAAAATTGTAACAAAAATAATAAGTTTTTTTAAGGAATAAAAAGGGGGCAAAAATTTATTTATTGACAAATCGTATTCAACTTTATTATAATGGTATAAAATGGGAAAGGTAGTGAAAACGGGTTGGTAGTAGAAGATTCGATAATAATACATCGATCATATATAGCGTACTCGCATAATACAAGAAGATCGTAAATCTAAACGTTTTATATTTTACAAAATTGCAAAAATCGCAAGGAAGAGGAAAAGAGAACAACAGCAGTCTGCACCTTCTAATTAATGTGATTAAACATAATCTAGAAGAGCTATATCACAAGAGAGGCGCTAGACGAAGAAATCTATCTTTAATCTTAATGAGTCTTTTTTTAAACGTGGTCATATACAATATATGCCGAAAAGCCACATATAGTAAAAAAAGAAAGAAAACGATTATATCCATATTATTATCATCAATTACAAATATTTCTTCTTTCTATAACGGTAAATCTTTTTTCTAGGATCGTACTGATCTCGAAGAAAAATCTTAAAGTAAAAGCAATACATTGAATCATGAAGATTGCAATGTATGCTAACTTTTTCGATATTAATCAATTTTTTCAACCGTAGGGTCATGTATAGAGATCACGTGTACCAAAGACTTAAAAATAATAAAAAAAGTTTAATTATTAATAAAATAAAAAAAATTGAATCTTGTCCACGCAGATTAGAACAATCAAGTTTATTTCCTCTTTTAATTTAAATAATTTTCTTTATACGAAATTATATTATCTGTAATCAAAAATATAAAAATTACCTCATAAATAAATGATTTATTCCTTCTTCTTCAAGTTTCAGGACAAGACATCTTGCAAAATCTTTAGGATGCCTGTTTTCAAAGTCCAATGTATTACAAAATCTTCAGAATCCAATGCACTCCAATTTTTAAAGTTCAATGTATCTGATTCTTCGATATTTAATGCATTGCAGAGTCTTCAAAGTTGGCAGAGTTAAACATACATAATCCTCTTCAAGAATTCTTGTCAAATTCCTCTTCAACCTTCTTTTCAAAATCATCTTCATGGTCTTCCGTAAGCATCTTTTCAATATCTTCTTTGGAGGTCTCTCCTCGACCATTTTCAAAATCTTCTTCAAAGCTTTTTTATATGTTCTTCAAGATTCTCTTCAAAAGCTTTTTAATAGGATTTCCTCAGAATCTTCTTTAGAATCCCTAAATCTTACTTTAGTTTATTTCCACTTTTCACGGTAATTCATCAGATGGTAGCGGGCCCAAGTCTTGATCGCCAGATCCCATGGGTCCATCCACATCAACATCTGAACCCATAGGAAGTCCAACCACTTCTGGTTGAGGAACTGGTCCTTCAGCAACTTGAAGAAGCATAGGATTTCCAGCGGCATCCAAAACAGGATCAGCCGTGGCTTCAGCGAGGTTTGTCACTGATTTGGATTTAACACATTGAAAGTCAACATGACGGCTCTTGGCCTCTTCCTTCTCCCATGACATATGGATAAAGGGTCGCTGAACGTAGTTGTAAATGACCTCGGCGCGACCACCGGCGCGTTTCTTTACTTTCTCTTTATAGGTTGGGTAGCCCTCAATGCCTAGGCGAATTTTTTTCAAACCGCGTTCTTTCATCACTTGCTTGGCCACGTCTCGATTCTCGATATACTTGAAGAAACGATACATTGCCGTACTGTTGACAGCTGAAAATAAAAGGAAAAAGAATGATATGTGATATGAAGTTAGTGGTATGTAGGATCTGGTAGATTTTAGTCCAGAAAAAAAGGAGAAAAGAAAAAAGAAAGAAAAAAGAAAAAAGAAAAAAGAAAGAAAAAAAAACACCAATAAATTCAAACTTATAAATAATAAACAATTAAAAATTAATTTGTTGCATTTTTATATATTTAAATAATAGCGAAAGAGATAAAATAATACAAAAGAGTGAGTAATAGATTAAACTATAATCTAATAAAATCATAAAGTATTCTTACATATTTAATTTTGAAATATCATATATTGAGGCCCACTAAACTTCAATTTTTCAAGAGTGTATTATATTTATATATATTTTTAAAAAATATTATATTTATATATTTATATTTACTATTATATTTATGTTTATTATGACAGTGGATTACTAGTTAGATTGTATGTAAATATGTTTCAGCACTTTCTGAGTATGCAGCGTTGAATATGGGGTATATTATAGGGTCGTATTAATATCGCAAGTTAGCTTGAGCATTCATTATTGAAGAAAATAGGCGGAACTAATGGACACTATGCATTTTCAAAGGCAAAGTTAATCGATTTTTCATTAAATACAGAGTGATCATGATAACGCGCAAGGTTAGCATGTGTTGTATGCATTTTATAACTAAAAAAATTACACATGTCTTCTTAGATCTTTCCAAGGTTATGCTTATACCTATAGTAAATTATATGAACTTTTTCACAAAAGTATGAAAACAAGCAAATAAAGATTTAAAAACTTTCTAAAAAAAAATATAATAAATCTATTTTAAGTGAGATGCATGATACACAAAGTAGTTATAATCTTCTAATTTCTAGCTGTTAATCTATATAAAGTTTTTAATTTCTAACTCTTCTAAACTTTAACATCATATTATAATTATATATTTACGAAATAATAAGACAGAAAATTATGAATATTCTACATTAATAGTGTAAATTTCCACTTTTTACTGTGACAAGTAAAATTGCATTAATAACAGCAATAAAGTACTAACAATACTAAAAAGTAAAACAATACTAAAAGTAAAATTGCTTTTCCAACAAATAAGATAAAAATATATTACAAGTTTGATATATAGTATCCAAAATTATTATTTCCATATTAATTGATATAAAACGTCATTAATTAATGACAAAAAAAACTTCGATTGATTAATCATTTAAAGTTTTATCTCTTTTTAGAGTTCTCAATTTAATTAGATGCATATATAAAACATCTCAAGAAGAAACTTTAAAATTTTGTTTATTTACTTTGGGAATATTCTTCACCCATTTGGGGAGGATATTCTTCGTCCCAATCGACTACGTCATCCTCCAGCAAGACGACAATTTTTAATATTACATATTTAATTAATATATTAATGTGTAAAACTTTATATTTAATTAAGAAAAAATATATTTTAGCATTAAAATACAAACTTCATTAATTTGCTATATTATAATATAAATCCTATTACCTAGTGTTATCGACAATGAGAGTGATTCTTTCGTCGCTGGCTGGTTGATTGCTGACTCCGGTAGTAGATCCTAATATTGCCGATCCTCCCGATATGTTGTCCCTGCTGCTGCTTTGATTCTGACTCTGAGCCTGTTTGGTGATGCCAATGTTCGTGCGAATCCTATGAGGATAAGATTAATAATCTCCCTTAGGGAGAATATGCAGCAGCATACTCTTTGGTATACATATCGTATGAGAAACTATCGCTGGTAATACATAAACTAACGCGGTCCGCGAAACCTACCTTGCAACTTGCGAAGCCCAGTCGCTTGATTTTGAGATATTGTATATTATTAGAAGAGAAAAATAATTTTTCCAAATAAATACATATAGCTAGAAATTGCTTTTATTTTTTTATTTTTTTAATTAAAATAAATGTTTATAATTTTATATGTATATTCCCAATCTAAATAAAATAAAAACTAAAAATAAGAAAAAGCCATATATATTATCATATCAATATCATCAATTACATATAAAATTATTTATTAAAAATATATTATCTTATATGTTTATATATGTGTATGTTTTTCATAAAAACCCCTTTCAGAAATTTATAGAAAACAAAATATTATTTATTAACAATTGTACTAAGAAAATAAATTCTTGATAGTAATTTTTGGTATAATGATAGTTAAAAAAGTAATGAATTAGATAACCAATAAAAATTATGAATGTTATCATAAGACATTGTTACACATTTCTTCTCCCTTTACTTTCAGTTTTGTTCAATAAAATATTTCTCTAGGCCGTTAAAAGTTAGAAAAGAATAAATATAGAAAAAACTTTATGGGAATTTCCTGCTTTTATCTATTACGTGCATTTACCTGTTATACTGATTTGTGAGATTTGTGCTCTGCGAATTTCTGCCGGAATTGAAAGAATGACAATGCCGATCGATGCTGCCGTCCCTCTGTACCAGACAAGATTTCGGCTTCGACGAGCCACCACAACTATACATGCACAGAACAACCACGTAATCTTATACTAATTAGCTACTACACAAGCAACTATACATCTCTACTATACTAATTATACGCGAATTCTAGAATGTCCTGTATATGTATATTTTGCAGTGCATTTTTGTTAGAATCAAATTCGCGTGATATAAAAAAAAATGATTTAAGATTTTTTTCCATATGCCAATAGCGAGAGATTGAATTTCATTCTCATTCATTTGATTTTATAAAATCCAAATTTCGGTATAATTAGCACGCAAAACTGCATGTTATGAAATATTATATCATTTTCAGTCAAAGTGCAACTGCACAAGGATAGTCTGCTTCAAAAAGATTGTATTATCAATTATCTTATATGCATGTATATGTATATATAAACAATTTCTATTTTTGACATACAACAGACTCCGATATGAGAACAATTTTATAAATTTCTCCAATTTTTTCTAATTATTATGATTATATATACAAAACACGCAAGAAATTTTATCTTTTCTCATTTTTCTATATATAGAGTAAAGATAACAAATCCTGAGCAATAATTAAATATCAATACTAAATATAAACTATTATAACTAATATCAGTGCAAGTTAGGATAATGCATAATATAGCATTGAAAATGTACATATGTACAATAATATATTCCTAATAAAACATACAATATTTATATAAGAAAAGTATATTGACAAATATTAAAAATATATAATTTGCATATCATGCATTTTCCATAGCTCAAAATATTATATAAATGTAATTAATTTTTTGCCAATTTTGGTAGAATAATGCGAGTAAGTTTTTTACATAAATTAAGAATATATGCATGCGTGTAACAAAGATTTGAAAGGACAAACCTAACCTAAGTGCATGCTGATTGTGAGAGATATCTATGATGTTGTAAGAAATTAGAATAAGATGTAATTTATTTTCGTTTAAATAGCACAGTGCAATTTAACTTATCTGCAAAAATGTCAACTCCTTGAATGTTAATAGTAATATTGTGATTGAAACGATTTTACTAAATATGTTGCTGAATCTCTATAAAAATTACTCCACAGGCATTTTTCGTGTCATTGGATCCAAAACTGAATAAAGATTCTGAATTTGTAATTTTTACCTCAGTCTATTTTTGTACAAACGATGCCTTCCTCTTCCATCAGTCTCTTTGTAATCAGTCTCTGTATCGCTGCTGCTGTCTTGCATATAATTGACTCGCTCTGATGGGTTCGACATGTTGAACCACCTGACAAAAGTCAAAAATATGTTAATTTTTTTATAATTTGCTAAGGAGCAAACTTAACCTTGCACTGTTTTGCAAATTTGATATTCACGTTAATATTTTTAGCAAAATAACCGTAACCTAACAAAACGTCATCTGACAATTCATTACTTATTTTGATAAGTAATAATATGTAGTAATATCAAATTTTGTGCTAAAATTGATGGGGAAATGTGTATTTCGCATGCAAATCAAGGTAAAACCGATAATATATCTGTTTTAATAAGTCTTTGAACTTTCAATGTTTTCTGTGTTTCTCTTTCGAGGTTAACTTCGCCATTTTCGTTAAATGTAAACAATATTTTATATAATTAACAACTAGAGATGATACTTACGAGCTCGAGATTGATAGGAACCAACTGAGCTGCTTTAAAAGCTTCTTCGTGGACTCACAGATCTCCAGATCGCACGAATCAGCACGAATACAATTTAACCTGATAATGACAGTTCTTCGATCGACGAACTCGATCGTATGACCACGCATGACTGCGTCCAATCGTATCGTCAGTCGTCGTATGTGCGAACCAATACGAAGACTGACGGAGATACACGAAGAGCGCCATGAATGAACTATAGATTATGTCCGTGATTCTCAAACGTAAACTTTGATGCCTATTCTCGATTCTAGTGCAGGTGTAAAAGAGGGATGTTTCTACCCCTCTCTAAACCGCGGCTGGTACTACATAAACGGGGGATGATTATTGATGTTCGATAAACGTGGCAAAGGACTCATATAGCCGAAAGAAAATGGGATTATTCGATCGTTTAGCGAATCTTCTTGGTCTTAGGAAAAAAGAAGTAAACGTTTTAGTAGTGGGCCTTAATAACAGTGGTAAGTCGACGGTCATAAATAATTTCAAACGCGAGGATGACCGTTGCATAGACATAGTGCCCACTGTCGGGTTTAATGTCGAGAAGTTCGCATGTAAGTTAAATAGCGAGGAGCGATAAAGTGCCCAAGATGTGAAATTATATTGCTTTTAATGCTACATATTTATTATTGCACCAGCATAGTCTCAAATCCAAATGGCACTCTATTTATTTTGCAATAGGGTATCAAATTAAAAAAATAATGCGGCTAATTATAAGAACTCTAACTGTAACATAAATAATGAAAATTTTATAAATACCTTAAAGAATGCACAGAAAATATATATATTTGTTACCACAAGATATATGCTTTGGGACCTCTTATGCAAAATTCTACATTTATTTTCTCATATTTTTATTTTTCATACTTGTATGGCGTCGATTTGTCTTCACAGTTGGTAAACGTGACAATGATCTAATCGGTTTATTAGTACCTTGTGATAATTTTGGCATCTTTCTTTTTACAATCTTCTTATTTGTTAGATGACTATCATAGTCATTTAAATTATCTGCAGTTTGTTTCGGTACTTCAATATCTGTGATATTCACGTTATCGTCTGCATTATACGATGAGGATATTTTTCTACTTTTCCTGGCATTATGATATAATGGAGTACTAGTGCCTAGCGGAATCATCCTCGGTTTCTTTTTATCAGGTTCATTGTGCAGTTTTGATACAAACAAAGAATTTTCGTTCATAGAATTGGCAGAATTTGTAATCTGGTTGATTTTAAAATTCAATTTTGTCTGTTTGAATTTTTTTTTAGATTTATGCAATGGTGTTTCTTCTGAAAGATTTCTATAAACTTTCTCTTGCTGTTTTGAGGTAGATGGGACTATCTCTGTTTCATTTTTTCTTATCGAAATTTGCCGTGGACTTTTAGTGTGTGTCCGATTATCTTCCTCATTACTTTCTGAAGATTCAATATATTTTGAATTTTTCTTTTGTCTTTTCTTTTCATTCCACTTCTTCTGCAGCTCACGTCTTCTCTTGCTCTTTCTCAGTAATTTTTTTCGAACCAATTGCAATTCTACTAAAAGGCTTTCACAACTGCTAGTATCCTGAAAAAAAAATTATGATAAAATATATTTTAATCATAAGCTGAAAATCATTTTTATTTAATCTTATATATATTTAAATGCTGTACATTCAATTCTAATGGACTGTCACAGTCGTTCATCTGCATCCATGTAAATCCAGAATCTTCTGTTAAAATCTTGTCAAATGCTGTTTGTAAATCTGTTTTCTTGAACTCATTCAAGCATATTTTCAATCGTTGTCTTACATCATCGCTTAGTTTGTTTTTTTCCATTGTGTCAATGTTAATTTTATATGGTCTTGCTTTATTCGAATGATACAGTAAGTATATTATTAAGTTCATATATCTATCATTTTCTATGTCATGTACACCATACAATTCTAAAATGATATGCGTATATCCCATATTAGACTGTAGAGCACAATGCTTCATACGCGAAATATGTTTCTAAAACAGACATTATTCATGATTTATTAGCATTAGCATATTGCATATAATTTTATACCATTCATTCTCATAATGCATAAATATACTTTTAATGACAGGAACTGTTCTTGCCGAATGATGTAACAGTCGATATCGTGTTTACAGCTCTTTAGAAAAGGACTTAAATTTTCCAATTTGTCGATAGGTATTTTGGTCAGCATGTCATTCACATCAATCGACATTGGCAATATCCATTTTCCCAGGTGGCCTTTTCTATCCTTAATGAAAATCTGTATCGCGTAAATGTCTTTCTTCTGTCGCTCGCTCGTCGATGTAAAGTTGAATATGATCTCATCCCTCCGAAATTTGACGCAACGAAGACCGGCAAAATTATATAGATCATTTTGCAGATCAACTTCGACATTTGGTATCTCTCTGGAACGTGATGGAGTCTCCCAGTTTTGCGATTCGGATATATGTTCCTCCACATTTGCAAAACGTAACGTCTCCAGTTCCCATTCGCATTTTTGGATTATGCATTCCAACTCCTGTATCTCTCGGAGCAGTTTTTTCTTTTCCGCGATCGTCGAATCTAAAAATCGAAAAATCGGTTACTCCTTCGTCGTTTGAGTAGGGTTAGGATATTTGACAAACAATTCGTGCACCTTCATCAGCCGGTTCGACATTCGTATCATTATTGGCGGAAGAACTATGCGCTTGCATTTTTTGTTACACGAATTACTCGTATGTCACTTGCAATAATAACAGTGTTGAACGAGTTTAAACAAACTCGCGCGCCAAAAGAACAGTTGGATGATTCAATACTGCAACGAGCGATTCATGAACGGTTGTTCGTGATTGGTGTATCATTCTACTTTAATCCAAAGTCTAAAAGTATACACCAATCACGAATAGCCGTTTAAGGAGCAAGTGTAGTACTGGATGCACCCTCAATATGATGGTTCTCAAATATTTCCATCTCGGGCTACTGAGAAATATGGAAGTATTTCTAGATGGCGCTTTTTTATATTATTATTTATGCGACCAATTATTTTTTCGCATAATAATGAATGATACTTGACAAAATATAAATAATAAGATTTTAATTAAAATTGCGTTGTAAAAGAAACTGCATTGAATTTCATTAAAAATGATTCTTTGAAAAGAAAAAGAATTCAGAAATTTACCTTTATCGAATTGCACATGAAATAGGATTTATACATGTATAAAAATAATGTTTTCACGAACCTTTTGTCTATATGTATATAATAATAAATAATACACATGCATATTATTAGTATTTTGCTTTTATTTTGGTATAATGAGCTATAAAGTCATGTTGTTTCAGTTAAGAATGTCAATTTCACCGCTTTCGACATGTCGGGTCACGATCGTCACAGATCCTTGTGGGAGCATTATTATAAAGACTGCCACGGGATTATCTTTATAATTGACAGTAGCGATAAACTCCGATTAGTTGTTGTGAAGGAAGAATTGGACATGCTCTTGCAACATCCCGATGTGGCAGGTATGTCATCTTCTCTTCATGGATAACTGATAAAATTAATATCATCAAAAGTTGCTGTAATAAAAAATAATGATATGATAACAAATTTATTTAAAATAACAAGGAAAAATGAGAGAGAAGAGAGAGACACACACGCAAGTGCCTCCGTAATAATCCTTGAATCGTTCGAAATTATTCGAGATGCAACAAGCAATTTAGAATTTAGATGATTACACAAAGCTCGCGCGAAACTTATGCAAAATATGTTTCAGGTCGCAAGATACCCATCCTTTTCTTGGCGAATAAAATGGATTTACCCGATTCCTTGACCACGGTAAAGCTGGTCGCTGGACTGGGTCTGGAGCGAATACAAAATAAACCTTGGCATATACGGGCAACAAACGCGATAACCGGCGAAGGTTTGCAGCCGGCGATTGAGTGGTTGACGGATCAAATTCGCGATATATATATTAACAAGAGATAAAACGCGCCGACATTGTGTCTGCAATTGATTCAATGTTTTTTTTCTTTTATGAAATATGTCGGATTGACATCAGTGCCTGTAATATCATTTATTCATATATATCACGCTCGGCATCACGAATTTCTTGCTCTTCAAACTTGGACTATGTTTGATTTGGCGCTAAAAATATTTGGAAGTATTTTTGTAGCATATCAGTTGAACGCAAGATGGATCAACTATAATTATAAAATACATAGACGGAATTTATTCTACGACATAAACACAATATCAAATCAATTGGGTGACATTGTGTCTATCTGTGTTTTCTTGCTAGAAAAGCTCCTATGTATAAAAATATATATATTATTATATATATATATATTGGACAGTTCGGTGCTAATTGAAAAACTACCTTAGAACATATTTGATATTATTATTATTATATTATTATTTTATAATTATTATTTATTTTAAGAAAATTATCCACCAATTACAAGCATAATTGGTGTACCGAAATTATCCGAAAGTAATCCGTCTATATATTTTATATGTCTATGGAACCAACAGTCATAATATATGAATGTCTAGATGCGACACGTCGATTCGGAAAATAGCTATCTTCAAGTCAAAGACGTGGCGCTCGTGATGCCGAGTGAAATTCGTCAGTGTTTCCCGGATAACGTTCGCCGATACAGTTTCGGCGTAACAGCGCGAATAAACTTTCGGTATAAAGTTTTCATTACGAAAAGAAAGTGTATCCTTCGCGTTGAAAAATGCTGATATAATTAAGGTAAAAAGTGTAGCGTTAGAAATTTCGCGTTCGGTTTTCGATTCTTGTTCGGATCGCAATCTTTTATGGCGATATTTAATTGGGAAGCATCGCTGCAAGAGCTCAATTCAAATCCGTCCAAAAGTAGGCTTACACAGCTGAATATGTAAGTACATAAAAAATATATATGTATGTAAAAAAATGTTTATTTTAATGTAATTCAGATGCGATCGCAAAAGTTTTCCAATGCAATACTTTAACATATAGTTTCGTATAAAATTAACGCAGAGATATTTCGTCGTAAAATATTCAAAATAAAGGCTATTCAGTTTCAGTAAACGTTTCGATTGAAAATTTCCATCTTCATTGTTTTTTGCTATAATCAGAGTGACTCATATTTATTTATCTGTATATGCGTTTATTATGTATAAAGCGATAAGAAAAATATACCAAGATCATAAAAATGCAAAAAAAAGCAACCGAAGTAACTGATTCAAAATCACACGCTCTCGTAAGATGTCGCCACCGACATCATTGAAATTCCGCGCCTCTGAAAATACCTTTTATGACATGACCTTTTACAATTTACGTCACGCGTTAGTTCGGCGTCGTATGTCGTATGTCGTATCGACCGATCCAGACCGACCTGTAGCGTTTAACAGGTGGATATCTTATCATATCATTGATAAGGGCGGAAGATTTGAAAATGTTGGGAAAACGCTCGTTAACTTATTGTTTCGCATTTGCCGTTTTATTCAAGTTCACGTGTTGTTATGATATCAAGAAATACCCGCTGCTTATGCCAAACGTGAGACCCAATACGGTAAGTACTGTATTTTTTATTTTTTACGGGGGAAACAAGACTGTCTAGATAATTTTTTGTAATATATGTTTCTCATGAAAAATAACATATATGGAAAATTTAAAAATCTTTTTGCAGATATATATATTTTAAATCATTAATTAATTAATTTTAGTTTAATAAAATTAGTTTAATTTATTTTCTATGACAAGTATATACTAGTATGTATAGTGATAAAAAATCAATTTGTGATAAATAATTGTTCTAGTTTCTGAATTGTTTGAATAGCTAATGCACTAAAATGTTTTTTAATGGGATATAAATTATCTGATACATCCTGCTTTTATAGCCTGAGCTATATCTGTGTACTCCAGTTCGGATAGATTATACAAAAAATTATTATATCACTGGTTTCGAGCCAAATGCAACAATGGAAACAGCTCATCATATACTACTTTATGGCTGCTCCAAGCCAGGTAGTGCAAAGCCAGTTTGGAATTGCGGAGAAATGATGATTAGTACAAATAATCGAGATACAGCATCTCCTTGTAGCGAAGGGACTCAGGTAATAGAAATTAAAATTATGTAATATATTTTACAATAGATTGCTGTAAATATATTTAAAAATGGATAAATCCTTCATTTAAACAGATTATCTATGCATGGGGAAGGGATGCTCCCGAATTAGATTTACCAGATGGAGTGGGCTTTAAAGTAGGCGGTGAATCTTCTATACAGTATATTGTCCTGCAAGTGCATTACGCACATATTGATCATTTCAAGGATGGCAGAACAGATAACTCAGGTGTAATTTTACATTATACGACACACCCATTGAACAAATTGGCTGGTGTTATCCTATTAGGAACAGGTGGCATCATACCACCTAGGGAAGTGGTACACATGGAAACTTCTTGTTTTATAACAGAGAATAAGACTATTTATCCGTTCGTGTATAGAACGCATACTCATTCACTTGGAAAGGTAGTGTCCGGCTATGTAGTGAAACCGAATAACACGTGGATCGAACTCGGTAAGAGAGATCCATTGAGTCCTCAAATGTTTTATCCTGTTACTCACAAGGTTCCAATTACGTACGGTGATAGACTGACGGCTCGTTGTACAATGGAAAATATACGCGATAGACCAACTTATATAGGTTTAACAAATGAAGACGAAATGTGTAATATGTACATTATGTATTACGTTGAGAATGATAGCCCGCTAAAGCGGAAATATTGCTTTTCTCAAGGACCACCTTTGTATTATTGGAATCAAGAGTTCAGGAACATTCCTGACGAAGAGGCATCAACATTGTAATATTCCAACCAATAGATCAATAATAGATCAATTTTATTTTATCATGCAGAATTAGGAAAAATCCTAATGTTTCCACAGACTGTATATTTAAATGCATTTAAATTCAGTGGGATAAAATTTATATTTGGAGATCAAGTCGTCCTAATATAATTTACGACTGATTTTTTGTTATATATATAATCACATTTATATTGCTACACTCTTGTTATGAAACTTATATGAATTGAATTTAGCAACGTTTTTTTAAGTTTAAAATTATATATAATTTTTGAAGTTTTTAACAGGATATGAAATTTCAGTAAGGTGTGATTATTGTTTTTTAAGATAAAATAAAAGCAATACTCACTCTTTTTAATCTGGAAGTAAGAATATGGTGCGAAATATTTTTGCAAAATAATTTATTAATAATTTTTTTTAAATTAAAATAAAATATAATAATTACACGCATAAATTATTTAGAAATAATTTTTAATTTTCTTACTTTTCAATTATAATTGAGAATACTATGACCAGGGTACATTGTACTTATTTTACATCTGTGAGTAATAACTCTTGAAAGATTTGATATTAATTTATAATAGTGGAATACCTCTTATTGTCAATTGTTATAAATGTGACATATGACCATCTGTTTGAATTGCTATTGCAATTTATGCTGCTAGTTGCTGATCGGTTGTTTGTACACAATATGTATAATTTTTGTGACACAAACTAGTCTATGTTGATCAGTAGTCTAAATTGGCTTATTATTTAATCAATAATTGTACTTTACAATGTACTGTTTTGAAGGTAGTTACAAAATTGATCTTAAGTATTATTGGAATTATCATATATGTGTATATGTACCGAAGCACTATGCAGATGTGATATAAAGAAGAAGCATAAAGAGATAACATTAAATTTAGGCCTAGTATTTCAGTTAATATTTATAATTATGTAATTTACGATTATATGTATTTACGATTATTTAAATACGTAATTTGAAAAGAGTCTCAGAGAAATTTATTGATTATAGCGGTATCAGAATTTGAAATACTTAACACAATTATACGTAATATAATAATCCCGAGATATATATCATTAGCAGAAAGATATGGCATTTTATAATTTATTTCTTGTAAGATATACATTCCAAACAGATTTTCGGAATGATTATAAACAAGTGCAATTGTTCACTAATTAATAATAATTAAATATATTTATTATTAATTAACGAATTAGTTTTTTTAGCAAAAGAATGTGCTAAAGTATATGGATACATTTATTGTTAATTTTATTTTATACACGGAAAGTTTTATTCGAAACTAAGATCAAAATGGTGCTTTTGTATAAATCGTATTGTACCACGAAATTTCAATTAATTTCAAGCAGCTTATTGAGAATTATCAGTATGATAATTTGATTAATGATTTGAAGAGAATTATTTTAGATGGAACGTTTCTCCCGAAGCGAGATGTCAATATATGTGAAATCGGTGAGAATACTGTTTTCAAAAATATAACGAAGTCTTTCTTTTAATATCTTCTCCAAATACTGTATATATATATATATATATTTAATAATATTGATTAAATCACATAATATTCCTTATATTTTGTTGTATAACCTTCGTAAATTTCCTTAGCAATCCATCTCAAAAATCAATTATTAATTCGTTAAAATATTTCGTCACTTTCGACATCATAATCTAAGAAAACGTGATATTCTCAGCTCTTAAATAAATATAATATCTAGCTCATATCAATATAATATCTATAGTATATATATATATATATATATATACACAATCGCTCAGGCATCTTCACCTGATTCCTCGAAACTGTATTTAAATGTTAAACAAAGAAATATAGATCTTTTTCCCCGTCCCAGCGTATTTTTCGCGAGACCATTGATGGATCGATATTTATTTTCGAGCATATATAAGCGTACAATCGTCGCTAAAAATCTAATTATAGGATTTATGGATCCAATAAATGACTTACGCAAAAAAAAAGAAAAATGTCTTGCGTTTTGTTTTCACGCTGTTTGCGATGCGCAGCAAATATATTTCCAGGAGATAGTTTCAGAGAAGCATGTTGCTTTCTCTCGAGAACGCACTTTCGTAATTGAAATATACTCGTGTTGTACACTTGTGTAATACGTCGTGTTCTAGTAAACGAACACAAACGATACCATATCACGTATAGTCTATATCGCGTTAATAACGTTCTCTTAGCCGTCGCGCATATGGAATTGGCCACCTTTTGTTTGTTCATTTCAGATACAAATTATATTGTAGTGTTACCGTATTCATCAAAACGTGCATTCGTTTGTCGCGCTCTGCTGCTCATTAAATATTCTATTTTTATATATCGTCACAGAGACATTCGTTTTAGTTTTATTATTTGAAATTAATTCTACTACTTTTCTTTATTGCTTAAAGTAATTTTATAATATTAATCGTGGACTTTGTCGTTTTTGTTTTATGTTGACACGGATTGTGTATCATAGTAAGAAAAGACATCAGATTAATGGGCGTGCAGACTCGGCTCTAAACAGGATCATGAAAACGAGTTATGGACTCTGGCGACTTAAATTAAGTACGGACGTTTGCTACAACGTAATTCGCGCGGTTCCATTAAACTTAAAGGGTGCATCAAGAGAAAGGTAATCCCGTCGAGGTCTTTAGCACCGCGATAAAGCACGTCTCGCGCGGCTTTACGTCAGATTTATCGCGCGCGCTTTCTATACGTATAACGATCGTCTCACTGGGTTTCTCGTGTATTTTTTTTTTCTGAAGCATCCCGTTATCGATCGATCGATCGATCGATGAAAAGCTGACGAATCAATGCAATGAATTCGATTGAATGGTGATGGGCCTTGTTGTTACGTCTAACGTCTATTAATGCAGACTGATCGAGAGACGGTGAATTAGCTGACCTTCAATCAACCGTTACACCGATCGTATTTGCCGACCACGAAATTACATTTGTGAAGTCTGACGAGAGTATTGGATCACGAGAAGTCGAGCTATTTATAAGCGATAGACGGTATGTTTAAACGACAAGCGAAATTAATTAGCTCAAGTGGAGCTATAGAAATTGACTAATCGATTATCTTAAAGAACGCTTCTTGCCGTTTTATACGCATCGCGTCGAGATGTATTAGCAGAGTTCGCATTCTTTTTTATTATCCAATACACAATTAAAATAATAATTGGATAAACTTTGCAGCCGTATTTTTAATATTTTTAAGTCAACATTTTTCCTTAGGAAAATAATAGATATTAATAATTTTTGAGTTATAGCAAATTGAGAACAGAAGCTTTACTTTTCACGAATGATTTATAAAAAATGGGAATCAATAATAAATTTTTTTTCTATGGATTATGTTTTAACAGAAATTCAAGTTAGTTATGGATACACGTGATATTAAATGTTGAAAATTAAGGATTATGAAAATCGGTGGCAATTAAATTTTTGGCAAAGAAAATATTGATTTTAAATTCATTAAAACATTGCATATCAATAGCATCTTTGTATAATTATGGATGTGTAAGCCATAACAAATTTGACATTTTTGGAAATAAATCAATTTCCGATAACGGTAAAAATTTATTCAAAGAGAAAAGGTCAACTATTTTTACCGATGAAATACAAATTTTGCAAACATTTCGCATTACTTTTACGGATGTTACTTCTATGCCGTGTTTATTGGTGCAGAATGTCTGGACGGTCGTTAAAAGTGTGTCGATGACTGGCGACGCACGTTTTTGGAAAACAAATGACCAGAGAAAGTGCAGCCGGCGAGTTAAAGAATCTAACGGAGGTGTGGTCGGCGTTTTTAACAGCCATTGATGAAACCCGAAAGAGCTAATAAAGTCTTCTTTGCCTCTCGCTCTTCACACGATGTCTGTCCCAGGTATGATAATTTACAGTTGTGTCAGCTCAAAATCGTTTGCTTCACAATTAAGTTAAGTCATCATGTGACGCTACAACCGAGTTTATAAATCTAAATGCTAATTATCCATTTTCGATTAAACTCTTATTTTCACGCGCGTTTATAAAGAGAAAGTTGCATTCGAGGTTGAGATGATACGTTTTCCTTATTCTTTTTGCAACTAAGTAATTTGATAATTAGTAACATCCGGATGTAAAGTATGTGTTTCACGTTGTTTCTCTAACGTATCCTATTTTTCCCTAACGCTGTCCTATATTCTTCGTTTTAAAATTATTTAGATCGAGTCGCGTTTTTTACGATAGTTTCACGCGCAGATATTATCTCCGGGAGACTTCGCGCGACGATAATCGGGCAGTTATTAATGCGAAAATCGCTTTCGTACTTTCGTCTCTTCCGGTACGACCTACTTCGTGCATACGCGCGAGGAAACGTTTGACACTCGGGGAAGTGTTTTAGATTTTCGTCGTACGCGAGTGACGCGATCGGATCGCCCACTTGTAAAATCGAGAACCGGTTTTGCTCATTACGCCGCCCTCTTGCACGCGTCTCCTTCGACGGGAACTCGCGCCGATATACAGACGATATATCCGGCGCAAATCGATAGTCGTGTGTTCAAGTCATCCTTTGTGCGCGATGAATGAATGAATATCCATCGCAGAATTCTATATCTATTTTAATCGCGCCAATTCCAGAGATATCTGAGAGCGTTTCAGACTGACAATGAGAACTGAAGCAATATTCTGTGAACGTTAAATTTCGAGTTAATTACAACGATTGAATTTAAATTCTCATTTCGATCTCTTTACGCATTTCAAATTAAAATGGAGAGCACATTTTCTCTATTTCTTTTTAAATATCAAGCTAGAAATAAATTTTTAAATAAAACTGTGTAGCAGAAGCCAATATTTTTTCAACATTTTTCTAATTCTAATTCGAAATAAAAACAGTTTGATTCGTCCAAGTTTGCTCACATAAGAGGCTTTTCTTACGATACGTCTTGAAGAGAAGACGGAGAATGAGAATTTTTTTTCTCTTACATCTCTGTCAAACAGAACATCTTGTTAAAAACAAAAAAAAAAAAAAAAAAAAAAAAAAAAAAAGATGTACCACTGCCTCGACTTTCCCTTGCACCAGTTTCATCTAACGATATATAGTGAAAGTTTGTATGACGTGACAGGAGAGTTATGTACGAGGGTTGACCGTGGAGAGGGTTAAAGATCGATTCGCGTCGTGCGGTGAGCAGCATCACTATTTCGATTTCACGGGAGTAGAGAGGAGGATGTTGCGAAGAATACGAATTACTGATGGCAAAATAAATCGATGGGACTTTGTGAGACTTCGCGACACGTGACTCGCGTGTCAAGCAGGACCGTATGTGCGTGTGTGTTCGAAAGCGAAGTTTGGGCCCGACCGAATATAGATCGAATGTTCGATCACTTCTGCTCCATTAGTCGATCAGTGTCATGCGTCGAGAACACGGCGAGATTACCTTTGCTCTCTACGATCATTTTACGGGCCGAAATTCTCGATGTGTGCTTTCTCTCGGTATGGATAGATCAAAGCGAAATAAATTGTGCATAAAAGGAATAGAGAGAACGGGGCGAATATTTTATCCTCCTAGCGAGATTAGAAGCGAACGAAATATATTTCGCTCACAAGTCTCCTCAATCGTCTTTCTCTCTATTTATCTGTCTATCTCCTCTGTGTGAGACTTACGTTTTACTATAATAAACTTCTCGTCAATTACGCACGCACTTCACATAAGATAAACCGGTATTCTGTTAACCGGATAAACGTACATACATAAAATGCTGCTATCTTAATAGAATATCAGCGCTAAGACGCCTCTTTTTTAAGAGCGATGGTAAATTAAATAGATAAATAAATCCACGAGAAAGGAAACACGTACATCTCGCTCGTAAGAAACTTGCCACAACTCTGGATAAATGGCAATTTATCCAACTGCTATTAATTATGAATATAATTAATAAATAGAGGGCCATAAACTTGATTCACGCCGGCGGTTTCGCTCATAATTTCGTTTCCTTCGCGCAGCGTCGTGCACGAAAGTAAAATTCGTTTATGCATCGGTATGTCTTGTATGAGTCGCGTATCCATTTCCGGTCATCGATATATTCGAGTACCATACAAATTTCTGCTATTCTTCTGCCGGACAATGCTTCACGATCAATATTCACGACGATGACTTAGAAAGCGGACAGACGTGTAGCGTGAACGCAATATACGACTGATGTGTCATTAATCATCATCTATATGTCTGTAGTTCATGTTTCCTATTCTTAATCACTCCATGCATTTCCAGCTTCGCGTTACGGACTCTGTTCGCATCACATGTGTAGACATTAATAATGCCAACATATTATTAAATATTTATTATTAATTATCATATGTATATGTGATTCTATGCGAACCTTAATATTAGAAATATTAATAAACTTTTATTGGTGTTATCGTATTTATAATTATTTATAATTACGTCCGTTTTGTATATAAAAATTACAAAAAAGTAGGGGCAAATCGTTGATTTAATTAATCCACGCGATATAAAAATTACATTTCCAATTATTTTGTTTTAATTCTAGAGATTGCGTATTACAATTTTATGCGATGTAAAAAAAAACAGACATATACTACAGTCTGTAAGTATATGTCTGTGCTAGTTGCAACCTTAGTTCTGACTTTCATACGGAACAAATTAATAGTTGGTGTAAGCCGGCTGCTTGTTGCGGAGATCCTAACGTAGCTTGGTTATATCGAACTTCTAGGCAAGCAAGATATCGAGTTCGCAACAATTACCGCTCTTGCATGAAAGTCCTGTGATATCATACCGTTCCGCAACTCCCAACGCGGAATGATGTTTGACGTTTTCGAGCCGCGCGCAAATTATATGTACTTTGACCTGCAACGCCGTGCGCAAACTTCTTCGATATTCCCGGTCGTGTCTATCCGAAAATGGATGTAGAGGGAAATGCGAATGTGAAATAAACATGAGGTCATATGCGGATTATATATTAACGCTGTTATCCTCTATCCTTCCTCGTAATTTAAAAATATCATAAATTTTTTTTACGATCTTACTATTAAGCAAATGACACCACACACAAGTTTAAAAGAAATATTTTCGTGCACGAATAATGCACGATACCCGATTTTTTCAATCTCGATGGCGCGACTCGAGGCTTTCGTTCTGTTAAGGATACAGCACGTACAATCGCACTAAACGCGGATAGTTCGGCCAATGAAAATGGCACGTCGCGAGCATCGTAAAAGCATCCAACGTGCCGGTAAAAGCACACGCGGGCCGGTCGTTAGGAAAGCGGCTGCAGGCACCGACTTCGAAAGTGAGGCCTCGATCACGTCTCTCGTTCGACGCCGCGGCTCGCACGTAGACGCGCGCCCGAGCTTTGTTTTCGTCCTCTTTTTTTTTTTTTTCTTTATCTTTTTCCCCCTCGCCCTATATCTCGGAAAGACGGACGACGCGGTCCGAATCCCGGACACGTTTCCGCGCGGGAGAATCCCCGAAGTCTCGCGGCCGAGACTCGTGGCAAAATTCCCAATGTAATTGAAAAACACGTCCCTCCTTCGGATTTCCTCGCACGAGAAAGATTTCCCGTGCGAAACGCATTAGTCGTTTAACGTTTTACCGACGGTAAGGTGGTTCTGGACGGCCGTATTGCGTTATAAACGAGAAAACTTTCCAAGCAAACTCGGTTCTAGATGGAAAAGCATACCGTAGATAAATATTTAAAAAAATCCTCTGGAATAAATGCTTGAACACTGAATATAAGTTTGATTTTAAAAATCCTGCTACAAAATTTATATCTAACATCGTGCGAAATTTCTGGTCCGTTTCATTGAAATTTTTATGAAGCGCTCAATTGAACTTGCATTGCAATGTAATGTATTGATATAGAATGAGCGCGCGCAATTTCTTTGATATCTTTTAAAATCATCTAATTGATGTTTGTGTGCTTCCAAGATAACGACAAGTTACGACATGAAGCCGCAATATCGTGCATAAATAGAGCGAGACGTCGCGATGCGTAATCTCCTTCGGTAAGGGGGAAAGACACGAGATATATTTAATTCTGCGGGCGTTTGGGAGTAGCGGCTTCATCGTCGGAGACCGCTTCTCCCCATAATTTAATTTCGTTATTCTCTCTCTCTCTCTTTCTCTCTCTCTCTCATGGGAATTCATCGATTTTCTGCACTTGCAATCTCGCTACCGCGAAACGTAGTTAACGCCGAGCGAATCGTTAATCGCGATCACGAATAGGAAAAGCCAATTTGAGCCGAGGGCGATGGAAGCTGCAATTCCCTTGCCGATAAAGCGGCGAGATAAGACGCGCCGCGAGAAGAAATCCGCGCGAGCGATCTTTTGTGAAATTACTTTGCGATCAGCTGATTGTGACAGCGGCGAGCGAACGCATATCGCGTTTGGACGCGCGCTAGAGACTTCAGCCGCGATTGAATTTATTTTCTAAATTACAATCGCGTGTTTATCACCGACGTACGAAAAAGCGAATCTCGCTGCTTCGATCGATTCGCGATGCACGATGCGAGACGCGCGTGTCCCCCCCGGGGTATTCCCACGTTCCCTGTCCTAATTCCGGCGCGCTTGAATTTCGAAGGTAAACAGACTCTAAACCGTTGGCTGTGTTAAAAGAATTTACATTTCTTTTAGAAAGGCGCGGCTATGGGAATCGTTTAATGTGAAACGCGCCCACAAAAGAGATTTTCGTCCAAAAATATAGTCCTCGACGTACTATCCTCTCTTTCTCTCTCTCTCTCTCTCGCCGGATTTTTCCCTTGAAATAGAGTCAGCTGTGCGCACAGCGGGAATTTCCGTAGATATAACCGAAAATATTATCTCGCCCGCCAATTGGGGTTCCGTCACCGTACTGTTTCCACGTTTAATTTCCGGTGCAGAGATCCCGCGTCAAGCAGAAAGCGCGACGAACCGTTCGGTTCGTTCCAACGAGCATCACGACTACTACCCCGATGGCGAAGACGGGGTAGGGCGAACGAAGAATAAAAGAAGGGCGCGTCGAACGAGCAGAAAATTCGCGATTGGTTAACCTATTTCGCCGGAGAACGAATCCTGGAGATCTTTCTTGCGATTTTACGGCGAGAACCACGATCGAACTTTCTTGGGCAATATTGCGCCGCTTCCGAGACTGTGCGGGGATTTCGGATTTAGACAGCTTCCAAGCGAGCGCGGTTGCGAAAGTTAAGAAATTACATTCCGATCGAGTTTGCGGAGACAACATCGCAAAGAAAACGAAACAATATTCTCACAATTTTAAAATATAACACAGCGATGTATTTTATTAGCTAATCGTTTGTGAAGCCGGTTAATCATTGATTATACAGTTGGCCCCGGGGACATTCTCATCGTGCGGAATAATCGATTTTCCGGCTTATCGAAAATTGGAATTTTATCGAGTTTTATTCGTGAATTTTCACTCCGCGGTTGCAGATCTCGATCCAGGGAGGAGGGGGATGGTGCACCTGTCGGGGGTTGCGGTGGCGGATGCCTCGCGTCGTTGGACCGACGAGCAGCGAGTCTACCGCGTCGCATCGTGACGGAAAAGGAGAGAGCGACCGAGAGAACGCGTGAAAGGAAGAGAAAGAGATAGAGAGAGGGGGCAAGGGAGATAGAGAGAAAGAGAGAGAAAGTGCGCACGAGAGAGATACGTGGGGGCGAGAGAGAGGTCGCGATTGGTTAAGCCGCTCTCGGAAAAGCCCGCCTGGCTGCTCGACCGGCCGGCACTTTGCTCAGTTCTCCACTGCGCTCCGTGTGAAGCGGAGCTTTCGAGATACCTTCTCGCTCTCCCTCTCACTCTCGTCGCGATCCGCGTCGCGGGATCGACTCCACGATCTTGGGATTTCTGCGCGAGAGCGCCAGTCCGCGTCCGCCAAGGAATCGCGAGGAAAACGCCGAGGAAAGTCCTGATCGACGATCCGGATTCTTTTCTCGGGAAAGAATCGTGGGCCGAGAAAAGGGGTGAAAGAAAAGGGACGACGATGTGCGAGAGGAAGCTGCTGTGAGTGCTCTAGGACAAGAAGATCTGAACTAAGCCGAGAGCGAGATATCGAGAGCCGAGGGGCTACCCTCGAGGAGGTGCGTCTCCGGGAACGAGCGTGATTCAGGATATAATCACGGTGAGTACCTCTGCATTGTTACTTCGCTACGCGATTGTCGAACAAATTCGGAATCAAAATATTTTTTTAACTTTTTATTTCGCCCGATTTTTGAGCCTCCGCGGGTCAGAACGGTTCAGTAATTATTTTTTAGCGTCACGCAGTTGCACCGATAATTGGATTTGTTGATATTCCCGTGTTACAACCAACATTTGCATAAACTGTTATTCCTTCTGGTTCATGTATAGTATAATAACTTTTTTAAATTTAATTTTTCTTCCATTACATGCACATATTTTCGTGTAGCAAAATATCCTTTTTTTGCGAAACTATTATATATGCACAGAATACGATTTATGTAGAAAAAAGTGATCGAATGTATCAGATTTTATTCTGGGATTTTCTATTTTCTTGTTATTGAAAGATTCTTGTTGTATGAATTTTTTTCGCGAAAGACGACTTACACAATAAACGGCTAGTATATTATATGTTTTTTAGATTTCTTTTTGAAATTAAAGAGAACAAAGTTGAAATAGATTGTATTACAAAGTTTACTAATATTATCATAATACAAGACGGCTAAAGCAGGTAACGAAGCGCAGTCGCCGCTTGTTATAAACTCGCATAATGTTCTCTGTGTGCAGATAAAGGATGATAGGGGAAAATTAAGGAAACCCCTGCGCTTACTATTCTGTGTTGCTTTGTCGAGACTACGCTCTCCTAATTTAAGTGCACGGCCGTGTTCTCTCAAGCATGAAGTATGAAGCTTAACGCTAAAGAGAATCTGACGTTTATTCTCGGGGGCGTATCTTTCGGTGAAATTCTAGCTGAGAATATTATCCAAGAAAAGATTATATACACAAATCTTAACTTGCCCCCACCCCCCCCAGGAACCTTTCATCTCCGATCATTAATTACTCCAAAAACGAAAATTCTAATCGTATCAAATCGATAAAAAATATGTACATACCGGAAAATCACATTCATTGAATGTAGGACATCCTGTATATAAAAAAAAAGAAACATTAAAATAGAAGACATTGCGATGTTTCATCGCAGAATTAAAGATAATAATAAGGCACAAGTACGCTCGACTAACAGGTTTCGCGCGAAGAAGGTTCAAAGGAACCCTTACTCCCACTTAGCATATAGGCCACGACCTTTCGTATTCGCTACCTCCCATACGTTTCCTCCACAGAAACGCATCGTCCCGTAAATGACGCCACGTTATATTCTTTCTCCTTTAGTCGTTCTCCGGAGGAGAGAACGTTCGATCCATTTCTTAATTCGGATTTTGCGCTATTCGTAGACCGCTCGCGGACGGAATCGATTTGTCCGCTCGTCGTGAGAGGAGAGACTTTGGCAGCGCGCTCTTCGATGGGTGCCTGATGTCGATCTTATTAAGCGGAGACAGGTATTGCCACACGCGACGGTCATCAAGGATCACGAACCTTCCTCTATGTGTGTGCGTGCGCGTGTGTGTATATGTGATGTTGCTCTTAATGAGCTTGAAGATCGTTCAATTCGTTGCACGCGTGACAGGATGGCTTTTCCGTGACTCTGTCGATTTTCTTAGCGAGAATTTTCCGGATGAAGCGTCATTCCCGGACTTTGTCGCCGGGAAAGCTTTGCTCGGAAAATTGAGATCGCTGAATCAGTATTATCGCGCGGTTTTATATTAATCCCATCATTTTCCCAGTCATTTCCCTCGGAATCGAGGATATCGAGGAAATATTTAACGATCTTTTTTTTTATAGATTTGGATATTGTAATATAAATTACATGGAAAAGAGAGTCAAGGGTTAAAAGAAAACCTTTCAAAGTTGAATTTTAATGAATAATTTTAGCTGAACGACACGATATTAAAAACGACGGTCTTGAAAATCCGATATCCCTGCGCATTTCTATTAAAAAAGATGTGATGCTTTAAATCAAAATTTTCATGCAAACGATATATTCCGCGTCAAAGTATTCCGATGTTAAGGAATTTAATGGATGGGGCGATTTGTAGCATTATGTATCGCTCTTGTCGAGAATTTTACATCGATCGCGATATTTGGTCAGCAAGACGATAGGATGATATGGAACTCGGGAACGCAAAACGAGATATGTAACTAGCTGCGGAATCCCAGTTATCCTGTATTCAGACCGAAACACCACCCGCGTTGCGTTTCTAGATTTGCGGTCCTATTCTCGCCCGTGCATCCTTAATCGGTTCGGTTTGCGGGTCTATTGATTTCTGGCGTTAACCGGCGATCCCGAATTCAGAACGTGAAATCGCCGCTTGATTGGCATTAATCACGGCCGCGAATACATTCGCATCGACTACAAGTTTCCCTACTACTACTACTCGTTCGTACGTGTACACGGTACATAATTGTGTTCTTGGTGCGCAATTTGTTCTTGAAACTGCGGTACAACTCTCGTTAGGCTAGCGTGAAACTTGACGAAAGTGTAGCGCGTTTCTTAACGTTAATTAAAGTTTGCGATAGAGAGAAACTTCAACGTGTTTAGAATTATATATGCAAAACGTGAAAAATTAGATTACCAACTGCCGAGATAAAAGAATATTAAATACAAACATACGTCTCGGGTATAGTATCCACTATAAGTTTGAAATTATATATCAAGTAAATCGTAAGATAAATCGAATTTTAGATTAAATAAATAGGCAAATAAAGGAGATTACATCACAAATATAAAAGGATAGAAAAAAATTGCGAATATTTAATTCAATCTGTAAGACAAACAATCGGCATTGAAATATCGGAAGAAAAATAGTCGAAGTAATATGTTGAATTTTTTTTGGATATGTAAAAAATCCTTTCAATGGAATAAATATGCCGTTGCATACATATTGTTTATACTCGTTACATCGGATTATTCGAAGAAAATTCTGCGTTGAGGGATATCTATTCCGCTGGCAGTTTACGTTCAGTTTAAAGATCGACGGCTCTCTGCGTTGCGATAATATCGGAAACTGCGCGGACCAAGTTTTCGTCATAAAAGTACTCCAATCTTGTCGGCGTGTATCCGCGCGCAGCAGCAGGCTTCCTCGCTTATTCCTCGCGTTATGTGTATCTACGTATCTCGTCGCGAAAATGATCGTGTTACTAAACTCTGCTGCTCACACGTTGCTAAAATTCAAGAGGAGGGAAGGAGGGATCCTTTCACGAATCGGATCGTGCGCGCGACACGACGATACAACTAGGTCGCGGGTACCATTTTTCGGCACCGCCGTAGCTGCAGTTACCACCCACGTCACCCTTATATCCAATTTGCCGGCTTCTTGTGCGCGTTCGAAATTGCATCTGTTTCATCGGCATTCAGGAAG